CTTTCACATCATGTCATATTTATACAGATTTTTTAGATGTTTAGATGTTATACCAGATCATTTTTTTTTTTTTTTTTTTCTTCTTCTTTTTTTTTTTTTTTTTCTTAGTTTTTTTTTCCTTTTTTTTTTCCATTATGGTGATGTAATATTTTGGGTTGTATGTCCATTATTGAAACAAAATAAAAATATTGTTTAAATAAAAAAAAAAAATTTTTTGGTTTGAAATCCCATTTGGAATGGCCAAATGATGGCCATTCTGTTTTAATTAGCTGTTCCAAAGCATTATCTCTCAATCAGTATTCATTTGAATCATATACAAAATGACTGATTGTCAACCATTTTAATGTTGAAAAATCATCATAATCAAGCATCAGCTTCTGGATCCATATCTTTGACATATTTGTGTTCCAACTATATTACTATAAACAAAACTATATATCTTAACTTTGATAACTAACTGGGACTGTGCCATGCATGGCTTTTTTTTTTGGGGGGGGGGGGTTATTGACATGAAAAAGTTGTTGCTGTTGGTTTACGCTCAATACATGTACATGTCGGTCCTGATTGGTTGGTCCGGGTTGGTGCCCTAGTTGGTAGATTCAGGTTGTCAAGTTCTGTTTGGTAGTTATTGCTATTGTTATTTGTTATTGTTCTTTGTAGGTTGGCTCTATTGATAATGACTTTTGTGGTACTGATATGACTATTGGTACAGACTCTGCATTGCATCGTATTATAGAGGCAGTGGATGCTATAAGTACAACAGCACAAAGGTATGTACTGAGAGTGGAGAGTAGAAAGCTATTAGAGGAGCAAAAACAAGGAGCACTCTTTGTTTGTAAAATTTATTTTATCTGAACAGACTAGCCTTGAAACAACTAGAGCTGATTTTCAAAAGGGCTCTGCTATATATAAAAAAAAGATATATGCATATAACATCAAAAACAAACAAAAAATACTACTAGTAATATAAAAGTATACAAAAAGTAAATACACATAATTTTGAAAAAAGTAAGTATACATGGACTTAGAATTATAGAGAAAAGATGTTATCGTAACATATAAACAAAACACTAAGCAGTAAAGTTGCTTAAGTACTGATGCTCAAATTCAGTCAAATTTTTAGCTCCCCTGTCAACTTTGTCGAGCGAAGCTTATCATATGAGTGATTGTCAGTCGTCGTCCGTGTCAATGTTTTACTTTTTCGACTTCTTCTTGAAAACTACAAGCCTGAATGCTTTGATACTTTGTGTATATGTACCTTGGGAAGACCTCTCTTTAATAGATTTGTTCATTTCATGATATTATCTTTAATTCTCTAATTTTAATGAATATTTTTGTCATTTTTGATAAAAAGTGAAATTTTCGATTTTTTGTAAAAAAGAGCAAGTCCGTTTGCTTTGATACATATTGTTCATTTTCTAATGATATCTTCTGTTCTTTAATTGAAATGTGCATTGCTCACAGCGGAGCTATCTCAGCCGTCAGGCTGCATGTTTAGTTTCTAGAACCATGGGTAGAATGTTCCAAACACATAATTTTCTCCTGATATGCACTTGTTTTATAGCCTTGACAATAGTAGAGAAATATGACAGAAAATGCTTGTGTATTATTTTGAAATGATATGCCTTGTGGAAGTCGGCTTGCTCTTACATGATAAGGACTTCAGAATATCATTTGAGTGTGAACTACGTTCATATTAGAGAATTATTCTGTCAGATCTGTTTGTAAACATTGTAACTAATCAAATAATAAAACCATCACATTAATCATCAGCATATTAGTAGTTTTAATTGTGAGATGTCTGACCCTTTCTAGAACACTTAATCTTTGAAAAATCTTGGCAGCTATTTGCATCCAAGGTTATATAGAGCCAACTTGTACTTTGTACTTTGGGGTAGAACACTACACAAAAGTGAAAATATTGTCATTTTCTTTATTTTACATATTTGCTATATCATGATACAAGGTTTAATAAAATGGAATAAATATATGGAGTCATCATACACAGTTGGGGAAAAATTAAAATATAATATAGCATAAATAGCAAGTTGACTGTATTTAGGGCATTGAACATTTTCTATGTCAAGGATATTAGCTCAAAATGTTCATATACATAGTGAAAAACGACGTGTATTGTTTTACAAGGTTTTTTTGGTGTCTAAAAGTATTAAAACAATATTTTTATGGCCTTTCGATGAGGAAATGTGTTTTCATTGCAGTCTATGGAAACTGCTGCTATAATGGCATTTTATGAGTATTATTTTATCAAAAATGTTTGCATACTGTTGACGAAAACTAAAATGAATAATTGTAGACAGATGTGCTAAAATAGGTGTACATGTAAAAAACTCGCGAGTATCATTCTACCTTAGAAGGAATTTCTGTTACTTGATAGATGTATGACTTTAAACCTTTCAATGCCTCTATTATTTATTTTCTTTAGCCATCAAAGAACATTTGTACTTGAAGTGATGGGACGTCACTGCGGCTATCTGGCTTTGGTTGCCGGTCTGGCATGTGGTGCTGATTGGATAATGATACCTGAATGGCCACCCGAAGATGGATGGGAAGAACATCTTTGTCAGAAACTCAGTCAGGTAGATTTTAATGATATCACATAGTTTAGCATATAAAATTGCCAGTTGGTATTGGGAATGTACTAAGTGGATTAGCAGATAAAATTAGCAGTTGGTATTGAGAATGTACTAAGTGGATTAGCAGATAAAATTAGCAGTTGTTATTGAGAATGTACTAAGTGGATTAGCAGATAAAATTAGCAGTTGTTATTGAGAATGTACTAAGTAGATTAGCAGATAAAATTAGCAGTTGGTATTGAGAATGTACTAAATAGATTAGTAGATAAAATTAGCAGTTAGTATTGGGAATGTACTAAGTAGATTAGTATACAAAATCAGCAGTTGGTATTGAGAATGTACTAAGTAGATTAGCAGATAAAATCAGCAGTTGGTATTGAGAATGGACTAAGTAGATTAGCAGATAAAATTAGCAGTTGGTATTGGAATGACTAAGGGATTACAGATAAAATTAGCAGTTGTATTGAGAATGTACTAAGTAGATTAGCAGATAAAATTAGCAGTTGTTATTGAGAATGTACTAAGTAGATTAGCAGATAAAATCAGCAGTTGGTATTGAGAATGGACTAAGTAGATTAGCAGATAAAATTAGCAATTGTTATTGAGAATGTACTAAGTAGATTAGCAGATAGCAGTTGGTATTGAGAATGTACTAAGTGGATTAGCAGATAAAATTAGCAGTTGGTATTGAGAATGTACTAAGTGGATTAGCAGATAAAATTAGCAGTTG